GAGAGAGAGAGAGAGAGAGAGAGAGAGAGAGAGAGAGAGCGCGCGCGCGAGAAAGAGCGAGGGACTGGGACGACGGGGAGATGAGGACAGTGATAACGCCGGTCTCCAGTATAGAGCTGCGCTTAGCCGTTGCGCCTCGGTTGACAGAAACGTTTCAGTCACCCACCGTAACGACCAGCGCCTCGACGGCAACACACAACAGGCTGGAACGGCGGGACGTGGGAAACTCATGCGAGGAAACAATCTACGACTAAGCGAGATTAGCATTGTGCGAAAAAATCCGCGTTATATATATTCATTGTGCTCGACGAAAAAATCCGAGTTTGCTAGCGGCTACCCTCTATATACCCCAGCTCGCCTCCCCCAGAAGCCGGGAGACATGGCCATCGCAATATTTAACCAATCACGTGTTGCCATGCTACCCCGCTGTCGAATGGCGTCTGCAAGCTTGCAGCCGCGTTTACAGCGATAAATCTCCACCAGTCGCCAAAAGCGATCGTATTGCTTTCCGCAACGGAAGAAATAGAACCGGGAAGAGACGATGGAGAGAGCAGGTATAAGCCGTGGCATTCGCATAAAAGCATGCAAGGATGTCGACTCGAGACGCCTATAAATCTACTAGAGAAATCAGAAACACAAACAGAGAGCAATTATACACATCAGTGCGTGGTGGGCGACGCTCGAAAAATCTGTGTTCAACAAACCATGCATATATATATATATATATATATATATATATATATATATATATACTACGTACGTACCNTTGCGCAATCATGCGTGTACGTGTCGCAAGATCACTGTGTGAGATGGATGTCCGGACGCGTAGCCTTGCGGCTCCTCGTCCGGAACTGGTTGCGTAGCCACGGCCTAAAATATAATGCTAAATAAATACGAAATCTATTTACTACCAAAGTCTTAATGTTTCTATACTCTCTTTCACCTATTATTGCCGACAATTTCCTGCAAATGCCGTCCAAATGCTCATCTGTAGACTAACAAACGCTGGCTGTCGCTGCACACTGACTGACACATAAATATATATAATATAGCAGGTAGGAAAGCGTGCTGCCAAAATTCGCTCGACGCTCGCTTGATTTCACATGAATACAACACAAATATTCAACCATTCTACTGTTTTTCTGTACCATCTTTGTTTCTATTTGAAGAACAGTGTTTACTTGTTATAAAAACATACTGTCTGTGTTTGTAACCGAACTGTGTCACGCGAAATCACACAAAGCCTAACGAAATTCTCGCGTTCATTCCCGTTGTGCAGTTTATGTAAATGGGTGCAAGTACAGGGCTATAGGAGGCGCACTGCATTTTGGGAAACTACCACGCTGCTTTCCAACTCCCGTACGAGCCTTGTCAAAGCCGCCAGTGGAGCGTTGCGGCGCCAAAATGAGGGCACGAAGAGCGCCAGGGGGTGTTTCCTGATTCTGACAGCCATTTACATAAACTGCGCAACGTGAGCGAACGCGAGAATTTCGTCAGGCTTTGTGTGATTTAGCGTGACACAGCTCGGTTACGAACACAGACAGTATGTTTTTATAACAAGTCAACACTGTTCTTCAAATAGAAACAAAGATGGAGTAAAATGGTTGAATATTTGTGTTGTATTCGTGTGAAATCAAGCGAGCGTCGAGCGAATTTTTGGCAGCACGCTTTCCTACCTGCTATTATATATCTTTTGTGTTTTTACCATGGTTTATTAGGAGTTTCTAGGCAGCAAGAATTTGCTGCTGCCATTGAGAGCAGGCAAGCAAACTAACCCTTGTGGGCAGCAAAAATGCTTGCTTCCCTTAATTTTGAACCATGGTAATTGCACTCATTTGTAAACCTCATAAACTATTGTAGCACAAAACCAATATCACCAGCTAAGAAACTTGCAAATAGTTTAATATACGAATTTCAAGTCTAAATCAATTGTTTCATTGCACATCAATCTTATTCTTTTTAGTTTTTATCCTATGTCTATGTATCCTATCTCTCTGTGTTTTCTAGGTATTTATCGGAGAGCTGGTAAAATTCTGGTGACCAATTTTAAAATTAGACATGCCCACTTCACGGTGAAAGGCCAATTCCAGATTTTGCTATTACAGATATAGCCATAGCTGCTACATCACATTACTCAATATGTTAGAGAGCATGGTGGACCATACCGGTTACTCAGCGGAGGAAGTGGAGGAGGAGGAAGAAGAGGAGGAAGGTGATGGAGATGAGGAGTCGAATCAATACAAAAAGAAACCCAACACCCTTCCATTATGGGGTAATCTAAAGACCATGAATCTGAATGCGTTGATTCTGACAAACATTCAGAGTTCAACGTACTTCAAGGTGAATCTGTACGAACTAAAGACCTTCCATGAAGTCATTGACGAGATTTACTATAAGGTATAGTATCCCATACTAATAGGTTATCTCCTTCCATGTGCAATATCCATGTACTGTCACCTAATTCTACTTGACGCTGAAAACCATTTGCTTAATTAATATCACCACCATTGCATTTGCTCAATAATTAATGTTGCTTGGGTCATGTTATGCAAAATAGTATGCTGGTTGCTATGCCGATTAAATTATAATGCCAGATTTTCCTACAATGCAGGTGACACACTTGGAACCATGGGAAAAGGGGAGTCGTAAGACTGCTGGTCAGACAGGCATGTGCGGAGGGGTAAGTTCTTTCTTATACACGCAAGTAGCAGTCGGCTAGCTTAGTGCCTACATGCTGATAAGACTGGAGTTCTGACTTCCGCAAAGTTTTACTTAATTTCACATGTTATGTGATTCTTAATATCTTATCTTTACTAACCCTAGTACTAATTTATCTGACATAGCTGTCTTAAATCGATGCATTCATGATCGTGAGCAATTCAAATGTCTTCGATTTGAGTTAATGCTCGTCAAAAATAGCCGAGGTTTGGCCATGTTGTTTAGCCCTCTAATGTAAGCAGGTATTAGCCTGCCAAACTAGAATGAGTGGCTGTTACAGATTTGATCGCACTTGCACTGGTGTCCGTCGCAATCATTCGTATTTCATGCGTGCGTCTCTGTGTGCTGCCTGCAGGTGCGCGGCGTTGGCACAGGAGGAATTGTATCCACGGCATTCTGCATTCTCTACAAGCTGTTCACGCTGCGGTTATCGCGCAAGCAGTTGATGGGGCTTGTCAATCACCACGACTCCCCCTACATTCGCGGCCTGGGATTCATGTACATCAGGTAACTGTTATTGTTTAGTAGTGGCACAAACACCTCGTCAAAGTACTAGTGTATAATCTAGAATGTTGAGTGCTATTTATATGCTTAAGGGCTGCTGTGGCTTGATTATGAATTGTGACAATTGTCTTACTTTTCAGCTGTGTTTCGTACTCTGTTCACTAGGCCACAATAAAAAAATCTTTGTTTGCCCTCGCCCGACCTAGGCTGAATAGTTTGGGTAAGTAGGTAGGCTTCTTTTTTTTACAAATTCTGCATGGTGTCTACATGCTCGGGTGTGCTTGTGTGGAGATACCTTTTATGTTGAATGTTTGGTTTGCTTGGTACATATAATCAGGAGTCTATCAATAGCCTATTGAAGCCTATTGATAGACTCCTGATATAATGTATTGCCTACAGATTTATATATAAATGTACAGTGATACAATTTGTTAAAAGAAAGAATGGGAAAGATCAATAAATGTCGGCCCCCTTTTTGCGGGTCGGTCGGGTGAGGGCAAACAAACAATATTTTTATTATGGCCCTACTGGGATCTAACCGTGCCAGCATGAATATGGCTGGAGCTCTCACAAATACTTTTCAAAATTGTTTAGCTGTACGTGTTTTTGTTTCACTCACAGATACACGCAGCCACCTGCCGACCTGTGGGAGTGGTACGAGCCGTACTTGGATGACGCTGAGGTGCGTATGTTCCCTAAACGTCTCATGAGCCTCACACTTCCTCCTATCTCGGTAGACTGACCGCCACTTAAGTTGCCCGAGTCTAAATTGAAAAAAAATTGACGTAGTTAATCATGACTTGCGATTATTCCTTGTGTGAAATGAGTGGCTTTGGAACCATCGGTTGCAATAAGAGTTCCTGTCTATCCCAATTAATGCAAAGGTTTGGCAAATTTTATTGCTCTGTCTCGTTCTCTGCGCCCAACTTTCACTCCCTGCAGCTACAGCCTTCATCGGTGGAAATGGTGGAAGTTGGTGAGTACATCAGTAACTACTTTTTTGCTGTGATCTAGTTTATGATATATGCGGCTGCATGGCAGATTAGCTTTGCATTGCTAAGTAATTTTAAGAATATTCTGTTGGTGCATGGGGAAAGGACAGTTATTGCCCCCAAGTCTATAAACATTGTGTGTTTGTGCTGCTTTAAGGGTCACCGCACACACACACACACACACACACACACACACACACACACACACACACACACACACGCGCGCGCACACACACACACACACACCCACACACGCACACACATTATGAAAGTTCCTACATGAACGTTACTAGATATGCGAAATGTTCACAGTACTACGGCTTAAAGAAAAAACTTTGTGATGACTTGTCACATGCACTTGTACTTTAGTGGGGGGGTTATTGGTAAAGGGTTTGAGCACGAAACTTACATAACTGCATGCCATTACACAACTGCAATGTAGGAACTTTCAAAAGTGCGACTTGCCGTGCCTTGAAATCTGATGCTTGCTTTTGATTGTGTCTGTAGGCAGTGCGGGCTAGAGGCGACGCATCCACGACCAAGCTGCCTGCACGCCTATAGCAGTGTCTACCGAGACATTCTCTTTAATGCACACGCCTGAGGTGAACATGAGCGCGGTGGACGTAGCCTGAGTACGGATAGCTTTTACAGGTTCGGCCACGCTGCTGCGGTCACCCGTCACCAGCCACACACGTCGTCGTCGTCCCCGCCGTATGATCGCGGTCGTTAGTGAGGCGTAGGGCGTTCCCATATTGCCGCTGCGACGCGTAGCCTCTCGCGCTCTTAAAGCTGTTTCGTTAGTGTTGGGTACCTCAATTTCAGACTAGACAGACTTTTGTGCTATTCGAATATGCGATGATAGTGAAAAGTGGAACTGGGAAGTGCGTTCTCCATTCCGCTGTATGGATTGGTTGTGTATGTTTTAGCTGGTGTAAAATCTGATCAGGCGTAGATGGCAGCTACAGAGACGCTGCTCTATTGTTGTTATTTGGCGTAGTAGGTGCTGATTGGATTAGGTGAGCTTTGGTATTCAGATAAACAAGATAATAGCAAATATTCCAACATTGTGTCAACAGCCTCCCATCAAAAGAAATTTTAAAAAGGAATCCTAGGGTTTCCTTTGAAGCAATTAGCTACAGAGGTTAGATGCGTCATACATGTGAGACATAACTCTTTGTCATCTAATTATATGTCACTGGACATGACATTCTTAAGTTGGTGTATTTTTTTTTTTTAAAGATATCTTATTCTAGAGACGAATTTCCCATTCAACCAAAGACTAATGTACCTTACTGGTATCGTTTTACTGGAATAAAATTGTTGTGCATCTAGCAAAAAACAGCAAACCTTAAGAGATATTCTAAGTAAAGTCTACACATAAGCTTTGGAAGCTGACCTAGTAGATCTTCACCTTGTAGTGCCTGCCCAGGTCCCCATTCTAATTTTTACCTGATTAATTATTTCACGTATTCAATGTGTATCTGTCAACTACGTTATAAGACGTTGTTCACCGAGTCGATAAAACGTGTAAACTCTATCGATGAGCCATCGCTGACATGTCTATTTTGTTTCAGGCTGTCGCCGAGCGATGCCACTGCCACCGACATTGTGTTATTCTTTGCTCTGTGCTGTCCTTTCCCTAGCGCGCTCATATAGCCGATCACCTGTTCACGAGCGCCGTTACCCTTCTTCTCTGCAGGAGATTGACTGTAAAGCTGGCGGCGGTCTCGTTCTCACCGTGGGAGAGATGCTGAGGCAGTGGCTCGGAAAACTGGAGTGGTTCTCAACGCTGTTCCCTCGCATCCCCGTTCCAGTACAGAAACAGGTGTGAAGCTAGCTAGTAGTGCTGCCAGGGTCTATGTCCCCCAGGGTAATGCCGTAACGTACCCTGGGTACGGTCCCGTATACCGGAACGTACCCTGGTACTATCTAATATGCCGGACCGTACCTCGCCTACTCCACTAACGAGTCTAGGGAGTCGCCTATGCCTACTCCCTAACCCTAACCCTAACCCTAACTCTAATCCTAACCCTAACCATATCAAATAGTGACCAGGGTACGTTCCGGCAGTACCCGGGGGGACATAGACCCTATGAGCGCAAGTAATTTTGACGTTTCGGTACTCTCGTCAGGTTCTCCTAACTTTTGCTTCTTGGCGGAGGTTTTTTCGAGCACCGGGGGAGGAAGGTGGGGTTCGTCCATTTTGCGATGCTCCGTGTGCAAAACCAGCTGCTGTGCTATGTCGTTGGGCAGTCTCCATTTTCGTCAACGCTCTCACGTCGTAGAAACCGAGGTTGAGCCATTGTCGTGACCTTCCCGTTGCTTTATCTTTGCCGACAGCTGGAGGAGAAGTTGCGAGAGAAGAAGATGCTGTACAGGCAGGAGGCGCCTCCCGTTAACGAGCGCATTCCAGACGACCAGCTGAACTGGGGTGAAGCAGAGAGGGTGGCTGCCAATACCAGGAGGTAGGTCAGTTTTGGGAATGAGTCTAAAAACCCAGCCGATCACGATTTCGAAAAATTTTGATTTCTGCTATATAATTTATAGTAAAATTAATGAAACTAAACAGTCCTACTCAAATTTTACCAGTTCGGTGTTAGATAATGGACTGTTTATTTCCAATAATAGGTTGGTGGATGTATGTATAAAGCTGCTACAGGTAGCTACAAGTAGATAGAATTATATGAAGATACTAGGTTATACAGGCTATCTATCTAGTATCTAGTATCTAGTATCCACTATCTAAGTATGCAATCTAGTATGTCTAGTTAGAAAATATTTTTCAGTAATAAGTTATAGGCCCATATTGAACACATCATGGCATGTTGGAAATTGGTACTGGATGTTACTGTTCACTGGCACTCTGTCATTTTTGTGCGAGAACTTCATTCCTTCAGGATTAGTAACAAGGTCACGTCATCCATTAATTACGTCACGTCATTCTCATCCTCGCTTGAACGGTTCGCACCTGCCTGCGTAGGACGGCGGATGCTGATCAGAAGCGTGACCACGGCGAAGGCCATTCCCGTGGTGACCGCGGACACGATCGACGCGGCGGGCGCGACGAGGACAAGCGAGCGGAGCTTCACGAGCGGAGTCGGGCGGGGAGGAGTGACGCGGGGAGGGACAGGCACAGAGACAAGCACTCCGAGCGCAGTCGCGATCATCACAGGTCAGTGCCCGCAGTAAGTGAAATACGCTTCCGTACCTTCCGAGGGAACGTTCGTCCCGCCGCCGCAGTTCAGTGTAGGACTTCTGTGCAAAAGCATCTCCGTGCGACACTTTCACAAAGTAGACGGCGATTTACTGGCTTCTCCCCAGGAAGAAAAATACAAAACACGGCGGCAAAGGTAGCCGGTCACGACCTCGTGTCGTGCCGTTAGGGTCGCAGCGTCAGGGTTACGATACCAATATGGGAGGGGGATCACTCCTCCTACAGGAAATCAAGTGAAAAAACATTATGTGTGAGTGTCTCTATTGGTTCTCAATCGAGAAACCGTCCCCCGTTCATCACTTTCACTTTCCAATCGCACACTCATAGTCGATCCCCTCCCCGTTTCACGCTGGTCACCAGCGTTCAAACGGACGCCGAACGTAATCGCGATTGACGATTGCAGAGATAGGAAGCGCAGCAGGAGTCGCAGCAGCGACCGGCGGCACGGCGAGAAGCACGGCGAGAAGCACGGCGAGAAGCAGGGCGGCGGCAGCCGGGACCGCGTGCGCAGCCGGGCGACGCCGGAGCGGCGCGGCTTGCTGCCGGACGTCGCCGACGAGATCGCGCGCGAGCGCGAGCGACAGCGCCGCGAGAAGAACGGCGGTGGCGGCGGCGGCAAGCGACGCAGTCGCAGTCGCAGCCGCGAATCGCAGCGCGGCAGGGATAGGTGAGCATAGCACGCGCGCGCGTCCGTCGCAAGATTTAATGTTTAAAATTTAGGGGTTAAATTCAAAATTTTGAAGAGGACGTTTTGACCGGGCTTGTATCATGAAACAACAATATGTTTATTTTTTTAATGTGTTATGTGCTGCAGTGTAATCTGAGTTTTCTTAATGAACGTACGTGTTTGAAAATTGTGATTTTGATTAAAATTAAGTGCAGCTTATGTTATCGTGGAAATACTTTCGTTACAGATTATCAGCAACGCAATGATGATATGTGTAAGGCTAATGATGTAACTATCTGCTGCTATCATGCGTATGTGTATGCGTGTTTCAGACACAACGAAAGTCGCCCGTCGCGTGACTACAGGGACCAACGTAGATAGCCCCATCTTCCACGTCGTAGACACAAACCCACGGACGTCGTCTCATCATGGTCAAATTGTGCCAGAGTGCAAACTGCATCTGCACCTTATGTGCAGCCTAGACCACAGCTGGATTCTCTAGGAACTGCATGGAGCATATTTATTGGCTTACGTGTGCTGTTTAGCCCTTGTCTCAAATGAACGCACATAATAGTTGGTCGTGTTTGTGTAGTTTCAAAACACTTCTGTACGTGTTGGCTAGTAGTGCCGTCTACTGGTAATATTGGGTTTTAAAACGGCTGCAACTAAGAGTCGTAAGTTGTTCACAGCTTCATTCATCGAACTTGCAACACTCCTGTATAGAATTAATCGAGAATGACTTAATCGCTATCATTTTAGCTCAGTTTCATTCGACAATGTTAGTGAGAGGAGCTACCTTGAATGTGTACAGTTCTAGCTTTAAATTCAACGGGTATTACAAACTTGACAGTCATTTCACAACAGCTGCTATTTCAAGTTGCAGAGAAGGAGAAATGCAGACACCATCAGATACTTGTTACCTGTTCTTTATAGCAGTTTTAAGGGTCAACATGCATGTAAAGGTATCCGTTCCAGAAATTTGGGAACATTGTCTATAATCTTGCGTATTTTCTGGTAATTTGTGAACTTTCTTGATGTTTTAAATGGGTGGACTATTGAATTTAGATTACTGGAAAATTTAATAGGATGAGATTGTTAGCAGGATAGGATTTTTACATGACCTTTGACGTAACATATAAAACCGTATGCGTTATAGTGTGTCAAGATGATGATTGTGAGTGGTGAACTGCCGCAGTGTGCATGCATGATTGATTTAAGTTTTTGGGGGTGAGGCACAGCTGCAACGACTCCAATAATTTCTGATAGTTATTGTATAACACTGTTGTGAGGAATGTACAGTTGATTTATTTTCATTTTGTACTATATCATAAATGGGTTTTTATCATTTTGCTATACGTTTATCAGTCCATACGACACTCGTGTCCAGTATTGACTTTGCTTAGTACACTTACGTTGATCGCATATCCTTCATTTCAGTTCTCGGTCATTACAACGTTTACTCATAAATAAAGATTTTGAATAAAAGATGCAGTGTGACACTGAAACATGAACACTGTGTGTCGTTATGACTCTTAGCTGTCTGTGAATTTGTCCAGATGTTGTACACATACATTTAATACTTGCTCAACACTTCGCATACGTTAAGGCTCTATTAACATTCTCGGTGCTACAAATTTCTGAGTTTACCTTTCTTGCAAGTCTCCAAAATCGTGTACACATGCATTATATCATGTATTATGCATTATATCATGGAAAATCGTGTACACATGCATGGTATTATTAGCTCTTCATATCTACTAGATATCTATACGGGTATGTGGATGTTACTTGGCAACGAATAGGACCACAGACTGTAAACACCAAAACACTGCGAGCTACCCGCACCCTAGTATCGTATCGTGAAATGTTCACTAAGGTAATAAAGAGTGGTGCTAATCATTTTAGCAGACGAAGGGGCTTACAGGCTCAAAAGCGAGCAAGCTCACTCGCTCACACAGAGCGTATTATAGGATATCTGTGGGCGTGCGTCTGTAATAGGCGTACACGTACGATGAGGTGCGTGGCGAGAGCATAACTGGGGGGGGGGGTGTTGGAATATACGATTGATTTTGCCCTCTGAGTTTCGAAGGTTGTATTGTGTGTACGTTTACTTTAAACATTTAAAAAAGATTGCAATTAGCTTCAGATACCCCCCCCCCCTTACTTGCTGTGCGAGTTTAGTCCCACCCCTACACAGTACACAGTGACACTCGGGGACATCAGCCCCCAGGGGGCCTGAGTCGAACAATCTCTACATGGTGTGCCCAACGTTGCCATTTGGTGATTTCAGTCACCAAATTTTGAAAATTTGGTGATTTTTGGAAAGCCTTGGTGACAAAAAAATGACTTGGTGATTTGGTGATTTTTTTTTAATTTTTGGTGATTTTTTGACGTTTTGGTATAAAAGACAAAATTTCAGCTTTTTTTTAATTAATCAACTCTACAATACATTACGATCTACTGTAGAAAGTTGATGTGTAGAAAAATTGCGTCAGTGACATTTCACCATAGAGTTGTATACATTATATCAGGAGTGTATATATCAATACATTGATACACTATATTAATACAATATATTAATACACTCCTGATTATATAATGTATACCTCTATGCATTTCACATACACTTTTTTTTTATTGCCGAAATGAACAAAACGAACACGCTTTAAAATGAAAATAAGTTACATGTGGTCAATATCAGTCCTCAGTAAGTGCTAACATGGTGAAATATTGAGATTTTTAAAACTTGGGTGATTTTTCATGTGCTTTTTGGTGATATTGTTCAGCTTGGACCTGGCAACGCTGGGTGTGCCACCTCTGCTTATCGTTCTGATATATCACCATCGACCGGTTTGTGGGTTATTAGCTTCATGATCGTCACAGAGCTGACAAAAGCATCAAACTTGGCACAGTTGTAGCCTATGGCAGTACTATAAATATTAGAGGGGGTGCCCAATGTAGATATTCCTTAGAAGTTAATTACAGATGATTAAATGTTCGAACCGCGCCCGCCTGGCCGCCTGTACTGGCGCATTGTATACAGCTGTTACCTCCCCCCCCCCTCCGCGCGCGCATACGCTATTGCGCTATAGGCGGCATGAAAGTGTATTAACTCTCATATCTCGCGAACATTTCTAGAAATTTAGATACATATATAAACACATGTCTTAGCAAACCCCGTGATTGAATCACAAATAGTTTAATTAATTACCAAAAATATACGCGCGGTATCGTTCATATAGGCTAATATATATACGCGCGGCTATGGCCCGTAGGATAGTGTACTAACTCTAATATCTCGCGAAGGATTTGAGTTACATTTCTAAAATTCTAGATACCTATAAACACATTTCTTAGGTATGGTCTCTGTGAATTTTGAGTTTATTAAAGCACGAATAGTTTAATTAATTACCAAAAATATACGCACGGTATCGCTCATAGGCTAATATATACGCGCGGCTATGGCCCGTAGGATAGTGTACTAACTCTAATATCTCACGAATGATTTGAGTTACATTTCTAAAATTCTAGATACCTATAGACACATGTCTTACCTATATTCTCTGTGAATATTGAGTTTATTGACGCACGATTAGTCAATATATTAGCAAATATATGCGCGCGGAAGTGTCGAACCACCCGACTCCGAACCCCCCTACCGCTCCCGCCTGTACTGTGTGTTACCCTGACGCATTGTACAGCTGGTACATGTATTGGCATTGTATACAGGCGGGCGCGGTAGGGGGGTTCGGAGTCATCTGTTATTCACTTCTAAGGAATATCTGCATTGGGCACCCCCTCTAATAATTATAGTACTGCCATAAGTTACGCTCGTAGGGTCTATAATAATCATAATCTATATAATAACTTATGCAGATAAGGTCTATGTCCCCCGGCCTGATCTCTGTTTGACCTGGCTCGTTTAGCTATTTCTGACTAACCCTAACCCTAACCCTAACCCTAACTCCTCGTTTAGCTATTTCTGACTAACCCTAACCCTAACCCTAACCCTAACCCTATATATATATTATATATTATATATATATATATATATATATATATATATATATATATATTAGTCAAAAATAGCTAAACGAGCCAGGTCAAACAGAGGTCAGGGGGACATAGACCTTATCTGCATAAGTTACAACTGTGCCAAGTTTGAGACTTTTGTCACTCCTGCAACGATTCGGCCCATATTTTGCACAAGGGAGGGACCTGACTATTAAATGTCTTTATCGCCCGCCTACGTGCCTACAGTTCATTCACCTTTCACTTCACGTCACGTCCTAGATTTCACCTTGCGGACGCAGCTCTAACCTTGCTCAGCGCTCACGCATCCTCCTACACATTGACATGGACATAGACATTGACTACCCGCCACGCCACCTCTACACGTCCTCGCTGACTTTGGCGTGCCCGTCATGTAACCTTCACGAGCTTTACACGACTTTATAGGAGTTCACAGAGCTGCGTGCTGCCCTTGGCGTTCCCAGGGACGCTCCTCGATTGGTCGGGCATTTTGCCAGGGTAATCAGACGAAATTTCGAGTGCAGTTCTGCGATTAGGCAGCGTCCAATAAAGCCGCTGGTATTGATCGAACGAAGGGGGAGAAAGAGCGTGGGCGATCGATCGTTTCTAGCGAAGTTAAACTGCAATGTTACTGCGTGTTAATAGCGAGGGACGTGCAGTGGAGAGGCAGTAGCGTACGTAGCTCCACTATTTTCCAATGGGCATTAAGGGTACGTTGCTTTTTTCCGCATTTATTTGGCTTCAGACTCGGATCGGTGGGTCGGAGCGCATAGCACATCAACTGTGGGAACGGGCTGAAAACGTGATTTTCTAAAAGTATATTAGGTGATCACATATATCATATTATGACCAGGTAGATAAGTGATTTGCATACAACGCCATTCAGATGGTGCTTATCGAAGTTCAAAAAACATTTTCGAAAAAACATGTGTTTGCCATTCCATGGATACTGGGCATGGAAATCCATGGCGTTTTGTGGAAATCCGTGGCTTTCCAACTTAGCAAGGAAGCGGCCGGGTGTTATTTTAATATACGCTTTGCAAGGTGCGGCCTCCCAACCCCTCACTAGATGATTACATCATCTGTACCAAAGCTGCCTCTTCAAATGACGTCACCACACAGCAGCAGCCAGTAGAAGGTGTCTGAAGAAGGCTGACATTGGAGCGAGGATTCCTAGTGAAGTAGCTGAATGACGCTAGCCCCCCCCCCCAACACCTACACGCGCGCGCACACGCACACGCACACGCACACGCACACGCACACGCACACGCTCACACGCACACACACACACACGCACACACACACACACACACACACACACACACACACACACACACACACACACACACACACACACACACACACCGGCACACGCACACGCACACGCCACACGCACACGCCTCACACCACACACACACAGCACACGACACACACAGACACACACACACACCACCACACCACATCACACACACACAACACACACCACACACACGACACACACACACACGGACACACACTTGACACACACACACACACACACACCACACACACAACACACACACACAACACCAACAGCATGCCACACACACACACACACACAACACACACCACACTCACACACCACCACACAACACACACACACCACATGCACAACACACACACATGTCCACACATGATAATACATATGCATGGCTGTGGGTGCATGTTGTTATATAGGGAGGACACTATGCCAACCAGCGACACAGTCACTCATGAGTTATTAAAAAATTAGTTAAATAAATATTTATGTTTCCGAAGATATGCAGTTAACGCTATATACGGACATTGTTATAGAGAGTGAGTTGAGTACTTGGCAGTTATTGGGTTAAAAATATATCAGTATACTTAAGTGAAAAACACGATATCCCACAGCGTGCATGAACGCGCGTGTGGTATATATATGCGCGTTAAAAACGTTAAAAAATAAAGCGTAACATAAAAGGCTAATAAAAAATTAAAATGTTATTTAAATACTCAATATATGCCTAAACACTACTAATATAATACAAGTAATAATAATAAACGTTTTTGTTAAATAGAACATGCAGGAAATTGCGTCTTTATAACGCAGTTTCAGGGTCACATATATGCATGTTTCGTATTAGTTCTAAATGAAAATGTATAAAAATAATTTTTTAGCAGTTTCAAAATTGGTGGCAAAATATGCGTGAAATCGGGTAAATTAGTTTATACTATATTTCTGCAAAAAAACTATCCGGGGAGCACACACGCGCGTACATAGCCACCGAGTCAAGGCGCATTGCATGTGGTCTAGCATGTGGTTTTGTTTATGTGACCTCGATGACGTCATCAGTCGCGGACGTAGTTACTGGAAGTTGCCATATTGGTTTTGAGCCAGTAAAAAGAAAACGCCCAGTTTGTTCGCTTTCAGGCTTCGTTTGAGTAAGTTCCAATGCGTTGCATGTATAAATATATAGTTAACACGTTTGACGTGTATATGTGGTAACATATAAGTCGCTCTTCTATAGCCTTTCTCTCCTAGACTTACTAACTACTGTGATCTCTGAGTATGTTTACAAAACTGTTTGACTGCTCAGTAACGCTGAAGGGGTCGTTGTCGTATGGGTTCAAGGATAGAGAACATGGGTCCCATTGAGACCTATGTAATTTTCTTAAATGGTGGGGGTAGCCCCTTTAAAATCGAGAGGGGTGCTCTTGAGGGTGTTGTTTGTTCATTTCGACAGAGAAACATGATTATGTGAGTTAACAGGAAGTGTCGAAAAAAATGCGTTGAAGCGACACTAGGCCTACTCACCCGTTTTCGACTGTTTCTGACCATTGCGACACGCGAGAATTTCCCGTCACCTTCCTCTGCTACGGCCCTGAAATATATATCCGTATTTGCGCGTACTGTTAAGCGAGAAGGGAACTTGTGGCTAGACATTAACGTGCCTTAGTATTCATAACAATCTTTGCTTCAAACAATCCTACTTCAGAACCTTGGTTTTTAATGATATATATAGTCTTAGAATGAAGTTTATGTTAGGGTTAACCCTTCTGATTATGCATACTCTGACTACAGAGAGTCAGATATAACTAGAGTAAAACTCGCATAAGACTCGTCATCGTCTAACTCGTCGATTCGCAGAAGTCGACATGGAAGTCAAAGTCCCGATTTCCTCTCATAATAAATCCATTGGAATAGCCCCGCCTAAGTCGTCATTTACAACCCATCATTATGTGTAAGTCGGCGCTCTCAGACAGGTCCCATACAAACAACAGTAATTTCCTACCTGCAAGTCGTCGCTGTATATATATATATATCAAAAGTGTCGACTTATGCGAGTTTTACTGTACTATAATTTTGTAACACGTGACTGGCTTAATTTCATTGTGGTAATTAATGCTGTATGTCGTCATACATGATTACGATCACACATTTTAGAATGTTTTTCTAAAATATATGCTCTCAGAAAATTGTACAGTTTTGCAAATATATACTACAACTATTGAATTAAAAGAGCGACAATGAGTTTATGTAAGTAACACTAACACTAACAGTGTCGTTCTGTGTGGTGTGAGTGAGATCAGGTTTATACTACAAGAGTACTCGAGTGTGTGAAAAAATCAGTGCACCCATATTCGAAAGGCTCTAATATTTACAAAGCATATAATTGGTGGAACCATTAATAGTAAAATAGTGAAATCCACAAGTTTTGTTGTTTTCAAGTCAACAATTGAATGTTTCTTATTTGCAGGCATCGCATCCACAGTTTACTTACAAGTTCAGCACCATGGTGAGAGGAAATCTTACAGAAAGGTAATCTCAACCATCGCTTATAGACCTAACTTAATTTTGCCACTATAACAATTTATTTTATGCTATTTTATATTAAATTTATGTAAAGTTTGGCACTAAATGCTTTCATTAGCACGGTAATTCATGTTTGGTGACTGTTTCCTATTCAGTCTTCCAGTGTCACTTGGCAACGCGTCATGCTCGCGCTGCGGAGAGGGATTTGGAGTGAAGGAACCAATAGTGAACTCTGGCGGAGAAGTCTGGCATACTAAATGCTTTGTGTAAGTTTGTGCATGTTTCTTCGAAGTATTCTTGTGGTTTTTTTGCCACCTTAGTACTGAGTAACCCAAAGCAGTTTAGTTGAAAAATAAACCCTGTAAATTAGAAAATTGAGTTTGCGAATTATAAACATTTATTAAAATTTATCACTCAAAGTTTGATGGTAAAAGTAGTTGTAAATTCATGATATAGATTAACAATAAACCTAATTGGGTTGATATAGACTAGTATTCTTTGCATTGGGAATATGCATGACATGGTTATAAGTAATATGTTGTTTTGCAGGTGTGCCCAGTGCTTTCAGCCATTTCCTGAAGGCATTTTCTATGAAGTGAGTTGATAAATTTATTACATAATTGCCTGTTATCACAGATATATTACATTTACATATGCTGTGTGTCTCAGCTTGCTAAATAAGGTGCTGCTTCTGATAGAAACAGTTTAGTTATTTGTGTTCACTTTATCATTATTATTTCTTACAGGGGGCAGCACCGTACATTTATTCTTTGAGACCACATATTCGGAGAAAAACACATTGCACTAACATTTGTGCCCTTTTGGCATAATGCGATTGTGTGTAGTGTGCGGGAAATTTTAGTTGTGACTGATCTGCAAACCAATATTCTTTCATGACTAATATTTTACCATTTATTTGGTGTGGGGGGAGTAAAATTACAAAAGGGCTCAATTAATTTCACAATCTTCATTTCAGTTTGAAGGCAGGAAGTATTGTGAGCATGACTTTCATGTCCTGTTCGCACCGTGCTGTGGATCATGCAGTGAGTATGGCAAGATGCCACAGACGCTCGTTTGATTGATTGCAGTGAACTTTCTTGTTATATAATAGCTCTAACCATGCAAGGTTTAATTCCTACCAAATCGCTGTGGGCAGGCGTCGTAGCTGCCCTCCTTACTTGACGTAATGCCCCTGAAAATTTGATGATATACACAGCAATAAACCATCGTGGCTACACTGCTTGGTTCATTTCGCGGCTTTTCCACATTGCCCATGTAGTGTATGTATCCCTCTTTGTCCCGCATAAAATAGATTGTTAAAAACTTTTCTTTTGTTGCTTTTGGTGGCCATTCAACTTTCCACGATACTCTGCAACAATTTCTGATTAACCCCCCCCCCCATGTAGTTTATAGTTATCGATTTCTGTCATCGTATCTGACGTGTCGCCGTTCGTAAAAACATTACAAAAAATCGACTTCCGCTCGTAGCCTCTCTGTAGTCGTCGAGCCCGTCGTCGCGTCTGACGCCGCGTTTGTTTGTCGGCAGACGAGTTCATCATCGGCCGCGTGATCAAGGCGATGAACAACAACTGGCATCCGAACTGCTTCAAGTGCGAGCTGTGCTCGTCCGTGCTGTCCGACTCCGGCTTTGTGCGCAACGCGGGCCGAGCACTCTGCCACGAGTGCAACGACCGCGAGAAGGCTGCCGGCGCGGGCAAATACGTGTGCCACAAGTGCCAGTGAGTGTCAGAGGATGGGTAGATGTAGGGGTGTGGGGCGAGGGGTAGGTGTAGGTGTAGGGATGTAGGGCGAGGGGTAGATGTAGGGGTGTGGGTCAGGGGTAGGTGTAGAGATGTGGGTCAGGTGTAGATGTAGGGGTGTGGGTCAGGGGTAGATGTAGGGATGTGGGTCAGAGGTAGATGTAGTGGTGTGGGTCAGGGGCAGTGTTCGAAATTCACGTCGGCCCGTCGGCCCGCCGCCGACAGTTTCGATGCCGGGCCTACAGCTTCTTGATACAACAGGCCCGCTGATCCTACAGCTATTTGATCACCGAAAACTCGAAACACTGAGAAACTGTTACCTGTAGAAATCTGTTCATGCATATTAGCTTCCAGGGGTATTTATTTGAAAACTAATCCGTGATAAACCGTGACATACATCAAAACATGCAATCAAACGTGCGTGGGATGTTCGGACGCACAGGTTCCTGAATCCAGT